AAATGCAAGATAATAATAATAATAATAATAATAATAATAATAATAATAATAATAAAACTTTATTTATACCCCGCTACCATCTCCCAAGGGACTCGGTTGGCTTACATGAGGCCGAGCCCACAATACATCAATACAAGCAATACAACCACAATACAAAGCAAAATACTAATACTAATACAAAGCAATTAAAATAAATCTCATACATAAATAGCATAAACATTGAACAATAGCACAACACACATTTAAAATCTATGGCTGGGCCAAATGTAATTAGAATTCGTTGGACCATTTGAAGCTTCCGGACAGTCTTCAAAGGCAACCCCACGTAGAGCGCGCTGCAGTAGTCTATACGGTATGTAACCAGAGCATGGACTACCATGGCCAAGTCAGACTTCCCAAGGTACGGGCACAGGAATTTATTAGGAATGCTTTGATTGTTCCTTCTTGCACTGAATGATCCTTGGGGGGTCTCTTCCAGCTCTAAGATTATATATCAGGAATGGGCAATACAGGGTCTAATGGATACACTCTCCCGTTCACCATCTAACCCTTTTGGGATCCAAACATTTCCCATCTTTCCTTCACTTTATCCTCCGAAAGAGAAGAGGAATGGGTGAGGGAAGGCAGGGAGGGGACTTCAGGAGAACCCCCTTCCTCCCGCCCCACTCCGGCCTGCTCTGCGGCACCCAAGTTAGAGTATTGCCCGTGCCTGGGACCTATCCTATGTAGCACATAATCCTAGAAATTCTGGCACAAAAATCCTCCCAAAAAACATGGGTAGATTTATGCACAGGTCAATGTGAGTATTTTAACTTTTATCAACCCCTTTTCTGAGTGGAGTGGCAAAAAGTGCAAATTTATTTCATGGTGGAAGAACATAAAAGAAACATTGATTCCCCTGCCCTTTCTCCACTGCAGGTCCACTTCTGGTCTTTTTTAATGTCTGGATGGGGAAATACAGGTCCAGGGGTGGGTGGCCCCTTTGGCAGCATGGGTGTTTCCTCTCTATGCAGAGTGACCCTCAACTTATCCATAGGTGTGGCGAGGGAGGGAGACTATTTCCTTATTAAAAAGATAAACCTCTTTGCTCTTATACTGATTCAGTTTCTTCTTTTATATTAGCTGGGACTTTCTGTGTGCTGTTTAATCTTTGTACAGGCAATGAGGCACTCTTCTGTATAACGAAGTAACACAGTTTATTTATAACTTCAGACTCCAACGCTTGTGGTTACATTTGTGTTTTGTTGCAATCTTGAGGCTTACAGTCAGTGTCATATACTTGGTTTACTTTTCTGAATAGACTTTCAATGTTTCACATTCACAAACATGTTACTTGCTTTACACACTCTTGACTGAAATTATATTCTGACTAAAGCACCACTGGCTTTCTTTATGTTCCTTAAAAACTCAAGCTCTATTTAACTGCTTCTCTATATCAGAAGTCTTTAACACATCTTCATAACTGCTTATTTCTAACAGGCACTCGAAAACCAACTATCCTTTTCACACACAGATTCCTAACTGCTTTTCTCTCACAGAAGTTCCTAACTGTCCTTTTAAAAACTCCCTCACTCTGCCTCTTTCAAAACCTTGGCTCTGCCCCTTTGGAATGTTCAGCTCTGCTTTCTCTCCAACTGTCATTTTGGCCTAGCAGCCTTTTCAAATCCTGGACCTACGTTAATCTGCATATGACCAATCGGCTTTACATATGCAAATAAATCCTATCTCTGCTGTTGCTACCCTGTCTGTGCCTATTCTTCCCTAACTGCCATATGTAAACATAGAGCTATACACCAAAAATTTAACATAGAGTAGCAATTTCACTACAATGGGGTCTTATCAAAATGTTTAAAATGTTCATATGAATTGTAGATTTTGTTTAAAATGTTTATATGAATTGTGTGAAAAGCCTGACAGCTTATGGTGTTGGGAGACTAGAGTACATGGGACTTCAACCTGAATATTAATGTGAGCTCTCTCTGGAGTTATTTATTTATTTACAGCATTTATATTCCATCCTTCTCATCCCGAAGGGGACTCAGGGCAGATTACAGAACACATACACGGCAAACATTTAATGATGTTAGACATACAGGACAGACAGACAGAGATATGTGTCGGCTTCGGCGTCTCAGGGGTTATGCTCGATTCCAGCCAAAGGAGAGTGCTGTCGCTCCATTCTTTCTGATAATGAGCCTTTTATGATCACAGACTTTCCTCCTGTTCTTTGATTGCAAACGTCTTACAGTGCTTAAAATACCTCCCCGCTTAAGTGGTGCCTAATTTCTCTATTCACAGCACAGCTATCTTTGAACTGCTTAGGTAGACAGTAAGCTAGGCTGAAGGTCAGGTGCTCACCCTGACCTGGGCTCGAACTACCAACCTTTTGGTTCGGAAAGATCTATTGCTGCTGTGCTAAAGCCCGGCCCTAAGTTAAAATCAGTTAAGCACCTGGGACCCATAGTTAGATAGCAGATTGACAAGGGAAGAGTCATAGGTTCCCAGTCAAGAGTTTCTCCATTGGGTACTGGCCCAAGAAGACTCCTGGTAAATACAGACTTACTTATTATGTACATTACCCAAAGAGAAGTGTGGTAAATTACACAATCTCCCAGGAACATTGCTTTGAGACAGCTGTTCAGATTATCAGATTCTGTGGCAGAGGCAAACTGGCAAAAAATGATATTAAGTTGGCCTATTGCTTTCTCCCAGTTCACACTAAACATTTTGTACTTCTGGGCTTCTTGCAAGATGGTGGCTTCCACATGGACCATGCTCCATGGATGGCCTCCTTCTGATTTTGGTAAATTCATTTCACTTCCCACCTATCTTACCAACTTGGGTATACAAATTGAATCTTTAAACGTTGTCATTTCACCAATGGCAAATTGTAGGAACGTAGTGAGTGACAAGACTTGCAACATGTAGATTTCACGTCAAGATGGGACTTTCCTGCATTGTTTTTGTGATACAAGGGACGTTGCACAAATTTCACCACAGACATAGGACCAACGTGGAAGTTTGTGCTGAACACAAAATAGGAGCTTTGTAAGACCTTTACACACCAGTTTACTTTATAGGAAAAAGGGGCTGTAAGCCATATGTTATGCTGGTCTGCTTTAGAGAAGAGGATTATATATATTTCCTCAATTTATTTAGAGTGTATGGTTCTGAATGTATATAGATGTAAACTCATATAAATGTATAATCAAGTACAACTCAGGGAAAAATGGAGATCAACAACCAAAAACATTTTAAAAATCTGCTAAATGTCTATCTTTTATGGAGGTGTGATGTTGTTCAATGGGTCACAAATATATGGATATAGTTTTTTTCTCCTGCCCCAGTTTGTCTTCTTATATATCACTGGTTCCTAAACTTTGGTCTTCCAGTTGTTTTGAATTTCAACTACCAGAAATCCCAGCCAGCTTATCAATTGTTAGGAATTGTGGGACCTGAAGTCAAAAACACCTGGAGGACCAAAGGTTGAGAACCACTGTTATATATGCTCTTCAGGGTCAATTTTTTTAAAAACGCTTTTGCTCTGAAGTGTCTCAAAATAATCGTTAGGGATTGTGGAAGACACTCAGGCATCATGAGAATGCCTGTTTGTCTTCTAGATGCCATTTAAGGGTACGTACGAGGGTGCAAAATTCTTGCTCTTGGTCCCACCGGCCTCTCAGGCGCATCTGGTGGGGACGAGGGACAGGGCCTTCTCGGTGGTGGCCCCTCGACTCTGGAACTCTCTCCCACTGGAGATCAGAACTGCCCCCTCCATTCTGTCGTTCAGAAAACGGGTGAAAACCTGGCTATGGGGTTTGGCTTTCGACGAGTGAATCAATATTTCTGTGATCGGATAGATGACGATGAATGATGGACAACGAATTCACTATGACGACTGACCATTGTTATTATGTGATTGCATTTGCTGTTATAACGTTTTAATTGAATATGTTATATGATGTTTTTAATGATTGTTTTGTGATTTTATTGTTGGAAACCGGCCCAAGTCCCCCGATAGAGGGGAGAAGACCGGTATACAAAATTGCTAAATAATAATAATAATAATTGATTTTGGGTGGTGGAGTTGTGGATACTGGTGCAATGCAGCCTCTCAAATAGTTCTGGAATGCTAATGCAGCCTCCCTAGCCATCCACAGTTGCCCACTCCTGATTTGCTTAATAGAGTAGGTCAAAATATTAAAATACACCATTTAAAACCGTCCTAGTCATCCGCGTCAAGTCTAATTGGCCTGATCATCTTTCCCACTGCCCTTTCATTGCCCTGTCCCAAAAGCTTGGTCCCACAGCAAAAATTTTACCATCCTTCTAAAGGACAGGAGGGAGGGGGTCGACCTGATCTCACCGGGAAGGGAGTTCCATAGCTGGGGAGCAATCACCGAGAAGGCCCTGTCTCTTGTCCTCACCAATCGTGCTTGTGAAAATGGTGGGAGGGAAAGCAGGGCCTCCCCGGAGGATCTTAATCTTTGTGATGGTTCATAGGGGGAGATGCATTCGGACAGGTAATTTGGGCCGGGGCTGTTTAGGGCTTTATAGGCCAAAGCCAGCACTTTGAATTGTGCCTGGTAGCAAACTGGCAGCCAGTGGAGCTGGCAAAACATGGGAATTGTATGCTCCCTGTGCCGCCCCAGTTATTAACCTGGCTGCCTCTCATTGGACTATTTGAAGCTTCCAAGCAGTCTTCAAAGGCAACCCCACGTAGAGTGCGTTGCAGTAGTCTATCCTTTAGACATCACTTTTACCTGTTTAGGTTGTATGTTTTCTAAAAGAAGGAAAAGCAACATTAAGGCTGTAGTATTAAAAGGTGTTCTGAGTTTGCTGCACTTGTGGCACACAATGCTCCATTACGGGCCGAGAAAGATGACCTGAGTGTTACTTCATCTGAAAAGACAAATACATATAAAAAGACAACTGTTATTAACTTTGGCATGCTATGTTCATAAAATATTCTGATATGTAATTAGATTTAGAGAACATACAAATGTAGCAGTTTCCAGTGTTCAGCAAAATACTCAATTTGCTAAACAATATCTCATAGCAAATTTATTCTCACTGTTGATAGATGGATAATGATATTGGAACGATCATTATCTCCGTAGCAACAGTAGTATTTGTGTTAGAGGAACATTGCACATGGAGCTGCTGTTACTTTTTACAGTCCTGCCTCGGCTTCCTCAATCAAATGCTCTTTCTGCAAAGCTAACATGCCCATAGTACAGAAGCAACTAAGGACAGATTGAAAGCTGCAGATGTATTGGAAACTGACCATTTAAGATGCCATGTGAACACTGCAAAGAGATCTCTGATACCTTGATAAGGAAACTCATACAAAGAAGTGAAATGAAGGTCTTGGATGCCGACCTTCTTTGGTCTACATCATCAGATATTCATCTTCAATATCTTCCTGTTCCCCTGTTGTCTTCTACCTTTCACTGGTAGAACTTGCCAAGAATATCACCTGCCCAGATCTTCATAGCCCAAGGTGATCTGCTCAAAAACGTTCCCCAGAAGACAGGGGCACTGCTATGTATGATTGTTGAGCTTTGTCAACTCGTCAGCCACTTTCTGGAAGACATACATTTCCCGATTCATGTCTGGCTGGTACACAGTTCCTTCTACACCCTCTGAGTCACCTAACTTCAGCAATGTCCTCTTATTCTTGCCACAGTTGGGGGTTACATTAACTCCATCTTGGTGTTGGGGTTCAGCCTCCGTGTGAACCTGACCCTGATATTTATTTCCTGATGCAACTGAACAGGCTACTGAACATGTATTTTCCCCTGATGGTTTGGAAACTGTTGATTCTGAGGGCAGTGGCTGGGAAAGTGAAACTAAACATCCTGATGAGGATGTTTCAGAATCAAGCGGTGATAACTCTCCAGAGGAGTTAACACCTGCCTTTTTAATGAGGATAGAAGAAGGCAGATTTGGGAAAACAGGAGTGAATCACAGAGTCTGCGAAGGTCAAGTAGATTAAAGGAAAAGGAGGCTTCCAAGCCTGGAGGCGTGTCCTGAAACAGTTTCTTTAGTTTAAAGTGTCTTCCCCTGGGCTGTCTTGTTAGATCAAGCATCGTTTAGACTGAGGCATCACCTTGGCTGAGTTCCCGTTTCCCATGGCCTGCATTCCCAGAGGCTTCTAGTTTCCAAGTACGGTTAGTGAGATACTAACAGGTTCCAGGTTTTTCTAGTGTTGCTTTTGGAATTTTGATCTAGTTCAGAGATATTCCTGACTGCTGAATTTTACTGTGGCTTTTTGACTTTGCATTTTCTTCTATTTTGTAACCATTTTTTCATCAATAAAAAAGGATTGTTTTTCCCACAGTCAAGTGTGGTGGATTTAATCTTATGGTCTTGTTTCCTGATCTGGGTTGCAACACTTGGGTATGCAGCGTCTCTTCCTACTGTCATCCTGTTTGTGCCTCTTCACTCACTGTTATCTTCAGGAAGATAGAGGAAGTGGTTGGTTATTTACAGCAGTCCCAAAGCCGTTGTGTGTAAACTACTCCTGACTGTGTCTGTCCTCCAGGATGCTCCCTTCATGTTACAAGTTTCTTCATTTGAATTGCTCCCTGCTGGCCCTGAAGGATCTCTTCTTGTTCTATCCTGGAGGTTCTCATGTTCTCTAAAGCACTGAAGAGTCTCAGTACTTAGCTGCAGCGTGTTGATCTTCATTTCCAAGAGTTTGTACTTGCTGCAAGTGGAGTCAAGGTTATCTAGACAAGAAGACAAACATTGCACACATGTTGCAGCAGTAGATAACTAAGCCACTTGCTTCCAACCACCCAGTTATCATTCACCTCTTTTAAAGTGACATCTCTAACCTTGAGAGACTAAGCTCCAAAGACTGAGGAGGCAACTATATAGACCTACTAGTTCTGATCAAGTAAGTCACGGACATAGAAAGAGCCCCACACCCTTAAGATCAGGGGCCCTCAAACTTTTTAAACAGAGGGTCAGGTCACAGTCCCTCAAACTGTTGGAGGGCCGGATTATAATTTGAAAAAAAAATGAATGAATTCCTATGCACACTGCACATATTTTTTTTCGTAGTGCAAAAAACACTTAAAAACAATACAATAATTAAAATGAAGAACAATTTTAACAAATATAAACTTATTAGTATTTCAATGGGAAGTGTGGGCCTGCTTTGGCTGATGAGATAGGATTGTTGTTGTGTGCTTACAAGTCGTTTCAGACTTAGGTTGACCCTGAGTGAGGGCCGGAAATGACCTTGGAGGGCCGCATCTGGCCCCCGGGCCATAGTTTGAGGACCCCTGCTTAAGATCATTAATCGATCACTCTTTTTTTGTCATTTACTAACACTGTAACCTCTTATGCCAGAACAAGGCAACTTGAGGCACCTTAAATGTTGATGGATGCTACTCCCCAAATTCATTACCTAAAATGCTGACTAGGCTTTATGGGAGCTGCAGTGAAATTTAGCGAGAAAGACTCCTCTTGTGTTTCCTCTGCCATGCTCCCAGCAACAGATATTTATAATAATAGTAGTCTTTCAACTGTAAGACTCCATTTAGTGACCATAAATCTAAAAGTGCTCTGGACAAAGTAGTTTCTATTTATCATTTGAAGGAGGAAATGCCCTATATGAGCAGAAAGACTCAAAAAGCAGCTTTAAGAATGGATTCATGGAGATCAAAATGGGTTTCTATCTAAAAGGCAATTGAGAAATAACATGAGGAAAGATACAGAAAGTACCTTAGGATATTTAGGCAAGCAGTGCTAATCTTCGTGGATGCGGAGAAAGCCTTTGATAACCTGAACTGGGGATTTTATCCATAATGGAAAAGATGAACGTTGGGACCAACTATGGCTCCTTCTACACTGCCAAATAAAATCCAGATTGTCCACTATGAACTGGATTGTATGTCAGTGTAGACTCAGACCCCTTCTAGGCAAAAGTATGATAGCTGGAACCCTATGCTGGCTGCACAGCGTGAGTCTGAATTAATGAGGGGAACACATGCGCAAGACAGCGCAGCGAGTGAGAGACGCAGCTGCGTCAGACTCGTGGCAAGATAGTTCGCCAGAAAACAGGAGAGGAAACATTTCTATCCCATTTATCCTCTTCGTATCATTTAACAGTAAATAACTCTAACATAACTTCACTTGCCTTAAGTACTATGCTTGCCTCCCCCTTTCTGGCTTGGCTGTTTGTTGTCCCCCTCCCCCTTTCTGTCCCATCCCAAACTATCTTGCCATGACTCTGTCGCACCTGTGCCTCTCACTCGCTCTGCTGTCTTGTGTATGCCTTCACTTAAAGTATGATAGCTGGAACCCTATGCTATGCAAGTAGCGTAGCATAGGGTCCCAGCTATCATACTTTTGTCCCTTTCTACACTGCCATGTAATCCATATTATCAAATCAGATAATCCACATTCTCTTCTTTGAACTGAATTGTATGAGTCTACACTGCCATATAATGAACTTCAAAGCGGATAATCTAGATTTTATATGGCAGTGTGGAAGGGGCCTCATATAATCCATTTCAGAGTGGACAGTGTGGATTATCTGATTCGATAATCTGAATTATATGGCTGTGTAGAAGGGGACTACATACGGATAAAGTCAGTCGACAACACTCAGTATGCAACAATCCAAGTAAAAGGAGATCTAACAAACTCATACAAAACCCAGAAAGAAATAGACATGATTGCCCACATTCCCCACAACTGCAACGAAAAAATCTTAATGAAAAACAAAGGCAACGACCAGCAGGTCCCTCCCACACAGAATATCAAGGCAGACAATCCCACAATAACGGCATTGAACTGGGTTATCTGAGCCCACACTCAGATAATCTGGGATTGTCTGCCTCAATATTCTGGGATATAGGGCTGTGTGAAAGGGCCCTGGGTTATCTGGGCCCTTCCACAAACGCAGTATCCTGTATTTTCTGCCTTGAACTGGAATATATGGCAGTGTGGACTCAGATAACCCAGTTCAAAGCAGATATTGTGGGATTTTATTCCTTGATATTCTGGGTTATATTCTGTGTGGAAGGGCCCTGAGTCCACGCTGACCAATACTCTAGTTCAAAGCACACAGCTGATTACACTCAGCTGTGGAAGGGGCCCCAGTGAACACAGGCCCCTTCCTCATTGCCCTTATATCTCAGGATCGGATCCCAGATTATCTGATTTAAACTGGATTATAGAGTCTCCATTGCCAGATAATCTGGGATAAGAAAATAATATGAGGCCCCTCCTACACTGCCCTATATCCCAGGATCGGATCCCAGATTATCTGATTTAAACTGGATTATAGAGTCTCCATTGCCAGATAATCTGGGATAAGAAAATAATCTGAGGCCCCTCCTACACTGCCCTATATCCCAGGATCGGATCCCAGATTATCTGATTTAAACTGGATTATAGAGTCTCCATTGCCAGATAATCTGGGATAAGAAAATAATCTGAGGCCCCTCCTAAAAGGTAAAGGTTGTCCCCTGACATTAAGTCCAGTCATGTCTGACTCTGGGGTGTGGTGCTGCTCATCTCCATTTCTAAGCCGAAGAGACAGCGTTGTCCATAGACACCTCCAAGGTCATGTGGCTGACATGACTGCATGGAGCGCCATTACCTTCCCGCCGGAGCGGTACCTATTGATCTACTCACATTTGCATGTTTTCGAACTGCTAGGTTGGCAGAAGCTAGGGCTGACAGCGGAAGCTCACGCCGCTCCCCGGAATCGAACCTGCGACCTTTCGATCAACAAGCTCAGCAGCTCAGTGCTTTAACCCACTGCGCCACTGGGGGCTACACTGCCCTATATCCCAGGATCGGATCCCAGATTATCTGATTCAAACTGGATTATAGAGTCTCCATTGCCAGATAATCTGGGATAAGAAAATAATCTTAGGCCCCTCCTACACTGCCCTATATCCCAGAATCGGATCTCAGATGATCTGAGGCTCCTTCTACACTGACCTATATCCCAGGATCGGGTCCCAGATTATCTGATTTAAACTGGATTATAGAGTCTCCATTGCCAGATAATCTGAGATAAGAAAATAATCTGAGCCCCCCCTACACTGCCCTATATCCCAGGATCGGATCCCAGATTATCTGATTTAAACTGGATTACAGAGTCTCCATTGCCAGATAATCTGAGATAAAAAAATAATCTGAGGCCCCTTCTACACTGCCCTATATCTCAGGATCGGATCCCAGATTATCTGATTTAAACTGGATTAGAGTCTCCATTGCCAGATAATCTGAGATAAGAAAATAATCTGAGGCCTCTTCTACACTGCCCTATATTCCACGATTGGATCCCAGATTATCTGATTTAAACTGGATTACAGAGTCTCCATTGCCAGATAATTTGGGATAAGAAAATAATCTGAGGCCCCTTCTACATTGCCCTATATCCCAGGATCGGATCCCAGATTATCTGATTTTAATTGGATTATAGCGTCTCTGTTGCCAGATAATCTGGGATAAGAAAATAATCTGAGGCCCCTCCTACACTGCCCTATATCCCAGGATCGGATCCCAGATTATCTGATTTAAACTGGATTACAGAGTCTCCATTGCCAGATAATCTGGGATAAGAAAATAATCTGAGGCCCCTCCTACACTGCCCTATATCCCAGGATCGGATCCCAGATTATCTGATTTAAACTGGATTATAGAGTCTCCATTGCCAGATAATCTGGGATAAGAAAATAATCTGAGGCCCTTCCTACACTACCCTATATCCCAGATTATCTGATTTAAACTGGATTATAGAGTCTCAATTGCCAGATAATCTGGGATAAGAAAATAATCTGAGGCCCCTTCTACATTGCCCTATATCCCAGGATCGGGTCCCAGATTATCTGATTTAAACTGGATTATAGTCTCCATTGCCAGATAATCTGGGATCCGATTCTGAGATATGGGGCAATTTAGGAGGAGTCTCAGCTTGGTTTACTTTCAGATATATACTTACACGAATGTAAATAAGTACAAGCCAGGCCGGCTTGGGAAGGGAAAACAGCCCTTTCTGTGCCATCTCCTCTCTGCATCTCAGTCGCTTCTCCAGAGTCCACCCACGTGCTTCACCTCTTCAAGGCTGGAGCGCCCTCTGTCGGCGGGTTAGACTAGACTAGAATCACCCTTCTCGCCTCAAGGATTTTTAAAAGACCGGAAATGGCGTATATGCAAATAGCTGGCGAAATTAGCCAATTGCAACTGAGATACCGAATGTGTCTTCGCTGATTGGTCTGCGTTGCAGTTCTCTTGGCGGTCACAGGCAGCTCGAGGGTGATTGACAGAGGCATCCTCCTCTCCTAGGACGACGTTGGCAAGGGGGCGTGGCGTTCACGAGTGTCGCGCGCAGAGAAGTACGTTCGTGAAGCCCTCAGGTCTGACAGGCTTATTTCGTCGGAGAAACGGGTAGAAGTGGTGTCTCTGTCCGCCATGAGCGGGTCCTTTTGCCGACTGCCGATGGCGCTGGGACTGTGGCGCGGCCCGCGGGCCTGGACTCTCCTCGCCCGGCCGTGGAGCCAAGGCTCTGGGGCTGGGGCGGCCGGCGAGGGGGGCGGGTCGAAGGAGGCCATGGAGCGGCTGGTGCGCGCGCACCCTGTGGTGGT